GGTCCAGCCCAGTTTCTCTGCACAACTTCTCAGTGCCTCCCTCTGGGGATATAGAGAATTTGCTTTTACAATCTTTCCTTTACCTTCATTTGTCTCATGCCCCTCCCCCATGTCCTCTGAAGAGACTCTTAATGTTCTGTCAAAGTGCAAAACTATTTTTACCACCATGTTCGGGAATCGCTGGGCACAAACTGCCTGCAGATTAGGTAAATTACAGGTGCCGGGGTTCGTGTTACTCATTAGCTGCCACAAGTTTAAAGCATTAATCTACCACTTCTGAATTTTCCTTTCAGTCAGCGGGCCCTTCCTTTGCCTTCTATTCTTTAGGCCTTGCTAGTTGATCCATTTTTTTTTTTTTTTTTACCTATACTCTGGGCTAAACTCTGTTTGTAACTTTCCCCCCAACTGCTTCACTCCCATGCCTTTTTTCTACTGCCTTTTCTCTCTTCTGCCACTTCTCACTGCTGAAAAGGCAGAGTCATTTTACAATGGGACCTTGGTTGTACTTCATCAGCTATAATGGAAACGAATTTTTTTTAAAGATAAATTTATGTATACAACACTAGGGTACAGGCCAGAGGTGCAAGGATGGTGAGAAGATTCACCAGAGACAGAGTGGGGAGCAGAACAGGCAGATAGACGAAGTACACTGCTGACGGGAGCAGCGGGTGGGTCAGGAGAGGTCTGCTGCGCCATGTGGGTCATCTTCTGGGGTGGGGATTGAACTCATGCTGAAGTGGCTTTAACTTCTTAGTGCTGTGCTTTAACCTGTCGCACCACCAGAGAAGGCCCAGAAACCAATTTTTAAACCCAAACTATGGAACAATATAGTCAAATTCCTTAGATATAACCCACAAAAATCTCTTTGCTGACTTATCTATGCCTCTTCCTTCCTTGAGCTTCTTTGTACTGTCCCCACTCTCTTCCATCCACAATTTTGCCCCTGAGAAATACCTTCCAACACCTCAGGAACTTCTGTTACCAAACCAGACTCTTCATTGTTTTACCTATCAGTAGAACCATAAACATTTTCTTCAAAGTTCCTAATTTCCAAGGTCAGTTAGTCATTGGTGTGATTTTTTTCTTTGACGCATCATTGATTTATATTGCATATGATTTGGAGATATAAGATCACACCCTTCAGGTGTACGTTCTACGCACCCCACAAAGTCCTCCACCATAGTCCAATGTGCTCCCTCCCCACTTTGGTCTCTCATCGCTCCCTCTCCTTCAGGTAGCCTGAATTCTACAGCAAAAAGTCTGGGGTTCGTCAGTCTCTGTCCCAATAAGCTGAAAATTTGTCTTGTGCATAAATGCACCAAAAAAACACTGCTATCAAAGTTACCAGTTCTGATATTTTCACTTCTGTTATAGCATTAACACAAATACGTGTTAACAAAATCTAGGTTTTTCAATTAATTTACTATAGCTTATGAATTAAGAAGGGAAAGTTGGGAAATTAATATTTGTTGAGCATATACTCCATATCATGGATTCAACATAGATTATTTCGTTTTATGCTAATAACAAGTCTGCAATACACATATTACATATGCTATTTGATTTCTATTAAATCTGAAGTCTAGAACATTTTATTAAGTATTTCTAGAACTTAAGATTGTTACTCCAAAGTTCTTTTCTCTATATACCTTCCTAAAGGCTTATAGATAAAATTATCCCATTGACTGATTTACCCGCAACCCTTTCCATATTCAAACTTTTGGGGGAACCAATGGAAATGCATCTCACAGGATTAAGCGTGAGTAAGAATAATGGGTGATAAACTATTTGAAAATTTTTATGTCGATCACTAACCTCATTTCAGATATTGTAATGAATATACTCTGGGTCCCTAAGTAAATTTATTAATAATACTTAACACAATTTATTCTCACTTTTACCAAAAACCCATTTGAGCTATTTAAAGCTGGGAAGATTTCAACTTACAAAACCCTGTTTTGAACCAACCTTGTCAGGGTCTGTCTTCCAAGTTCTCCTGAGAAATAATATAATTGCAATTACAGGCATCTCAAATTTTGTAAACAGTTTGAGTTCCAAGAGTTCATTAGTTAGTTGTTTGGAATCAGTGTGTATTTTCCCATTACCTAATCTAATAAAGGATGGTTATTTCCCAAGCTGGCATTTCCTTTTTTCTTCCTCTGACCCAGAACCACCACCCACCCAAGAAAAAGAACAACAAAAATAGGGAAAAGACTGTTTAAACAAGGTGAATAACAACATTCCCTTTACTATCTTGGGCTCTAGAAAATATTGGGAAGGGATTTTGTAGTAGTGTAAGGAGTGCTAATTCAATAGTAAAGATTGAGTCACACAAAGAATTCTACCACCTCCTAGGAGATGACTCTGTCAGCACTTCAAAACTTTAACTAATTTTTTAGAATCTTCTCTTTCCACGTTTTGAGCTCACTCTTTTTCCAGTGGCAGCACTCGAATGCAGAAAAATTAAAAGTGAGCAAATGCACATTCTTAATCTTTAGTAAGTTCATGATGTTCAGATGATCACATCTCTACCTGGTACCCCTAAAACTCAGTGGTAAATCAAAGAATGGCATCACCCCAAACATTATTTCTATTATCCAAGCATTAGAATCCCTTAGAGACAATATTTTGCATTAACTAAAATCTCTTCTATACCTTGTTTCAGTAATAAAAATATACTTTTCTTATCAAGTATGTACCATTTTTAAAGTGATCTCACTTTTTAAAAAAAACTCCATCTTCATCATGACTTCAGACCGTGTGGGATCTTGTCATTAAAGTAGGTCTATGGGTTAAAAGAAAAACAGGCCCAAGGTGATTTTATTCTAGGCTTCCCACATCTCGGTTTTAGTGCTATTTTTCATGTTTAAATCATATAGACTCATCATACTCCATGATAAAAGAAATTGTTTTCACAGCCTTATCCTTACTGCCAGGACAGTACCTGGCGATAAGTTGTAAAAAAAAAATGGAAATAAATGAATTTCCATCACTGTTATCTTAATAAGCTTGGCAATAATGCTATATAACTTCACTGGTTAAAACAACTTTTCAAATTATCTTCACATTTTAAGAAGCAGCAAAGAGAGAGGATGGGTAAGAGCTAAAGGTAATTTTCTATAACAGATGTTAACCTACGTGTGAGTTGCTGGGGATTTCACTCTGTAGTCGCCATCTCTTATAAAAGCAAGCAGTGGACAAGTAGAAATGGGAGAAATATCATTGAAAAAGAAATGCTTATTACTGTTTTCTGTGCTCTTACTGCACCACAAATCTAAAGATGGTTCTCAAACTTTATGTAGAATGACTCAACTACACAGTAACAAAGACATATAATTAACTCCCAATTGTCAAAATCTAACACCCCAAGTCTTGGCTCAATAGAAAGTGACTATAAAGAATTATAGAATAATCAACTTGACACAAGTATGTAGCTAGTTCTTTCATTATCTGATCATTGATTCTAACATTGTCTTCACTCTATCCATAGAAATTCACACTAAACATGTAATTTTCGTAACTTGGGATAAAGTAAAGTGACCTTATGTTTTCATGAGCTTTGTTGGGACTGACTATAAAAGTCAAATGTAAAGTTGACTATCAACTCTAAGGTGAATGAGGCCATGGAATCTTTCTAGAACTCTGGAAGGGAAAATGAAAGGCAAGGAAATAGAAATGAAGTAATAAAGGACCAGAAAGAAAAAGATAAAATAGGGAATATATAAAATACCAAAACATTTTTTAGAACGCCAACAGTTGTGTTTTATTTTTTTCATAAATGATAACTAATGTTCATCAAGCACTAATATATGACATTACAATAAATATGCAAACCATTTGATGAAATTCTGTAAGGCCACCACTATGATCTGGATGAAGTGGAAATCTAGTGTGCATAAATAGAAATGAACTTAGCTAGCATTTGCAGGAGGTTGTGGACTCCCTGCCCTTTACCCTGGTACTGTACAGCCTCCCATGGACTCATGGACTCATGCATGGACTTATGGGACAGTTGTGATTACAAATTTTGTCTCCTTGCTTGCACCTGGTGTGTTACTTTTCTCCTCGAAATCCTCTGAAACAACTTTTGTAGAGTCAATACCAACAATGCAAGAGGGAGTTGTGAGAGCACAGAGTGCAGAACAGGAGCCATAACAGAGGCCCCTTCAAGTAGGGGCCACACCTGAATGCCGAAATATCAAGTAACTACCGTGTGAGTCTTGCTTCCACTAAAATTACGTACAAAAAGAAGTTACTCCATGTACGCCACGCCATCCTCTGTCCCACCCTTTACGGTACTTCTACCTCAGAAGTTCTACTGCTCTACCATGGAAGGGAACAGAATTGAGATTTTGGTTGCCACCACCTTCCTCCCACAAAAAAAAAGCCCAGGAAGAAATCTGAGAGCCCTCCAGCCACCCCCTCGCACTCCCAAATCATCCTACTGCTTAAGTAAAAGAGAGGAAAGAGATTTACCTGCTGCTATTGAGGCTGAAGCCTGACAGTCAAGTCTAACCTTTGAAGGACTGTAATGGTTTTATTCACAGGAATAGCATCTTTTTGACAGGCAGGAGAGAGAAAAGAGCTGAACCACTCTGCAAATACTAACCAGGCTATTTTGGAGCAATGGCTATTGCCTTTGAAATCTTTCATCATGAGTCTATACTTAGAATTCAGATGAGCCTGGGGGAGGGGACTGGGGCAGTGTTAATCCCCAGTTGTTTTGAAGTTGTTCTCTAAGCAGGTTAGCATCTAAACTGTCCCAAGTGGAAGCATTCAATGCTTTGTTTCAATTATGTGATTCTGGGTGTTTGACGTTAACCTGCTCTGCCTATAGACTGTCACATCATCCTGAGTGTAACACTTCCCAGTTTTCTTTCAAACTAGATGTTCTTGCCATCACTGGCTGCAATCACATTGGGAGACTGATGCTCCTTGACAGCTAAAAGTTGGATTGAGTTTCAGGAGCTACTATATATAAAGCTAGGGCGACTTATGTCACCGCACTAATTAAATGCCATCTGGGTGGTTCCTCTGGGCTTTTTGAGCCCATCACCCAGTTCAGACAGAGTCAGAGGCCAAGGAGGAGAACATGATGATGGACCTTTTTGAAACTGGCTCCTATTTCTTCTACTTGGACGGGGAAAATGTTACCCTGCAGCCCTTAGAAGTGGCAGAGGGTTCTCCTTTGTATCCAGGGAGTGATGGTACCTTGTCCCCCTGCCAGGACCAAATGCCCCCAGAAGCTGGGAGCGACAGCAGCGGAGAGGAACATGTCCTGGCGCCCCCAGGCCTGCAACCTCCCCACTGCCCTGGCCAGTGTCTGATCTGGGCTTGCAAGACTTGCAAGAGAAAATCTGCCCCCACCGACCGTCGGAAAGCAGCCACCTTGCGCGAGAGGAGGCGACTAAAGAAAATCAACGAAGCCTTCGAGGCACTGAAGCGGCGGACTGTGGCCAACCCCAACCAGAGACTGCCCAAGGTGGAGATTCTGAGGAGCGCCATCAGCTACATTGAGCGGCTGCAGGACCTGCTGCACCGGCTGGATCAGCAAGAGAAAATGCAGGAACTGGGGGTGGACCCCTTCAGTTACAGACCCAAGCAAGAAAATGTAAGCCCAGCGGTTACCCAGTGGTGGCCGGGACCGGGAAAGGCAAGAACTGGTTAGACACTTTCCTGAGGGCCTTAAACACCAGCTGCTGTGTCTCCTTTCCCGTCCCCCTTCCTCGCCCGCCCCTTCTGCTCCCTTTCTAATGGGCCCCCAGTGACCCGTGAAGACGGGGTGCCTGCAATTGACAGGAAATGTGCACCCGGACGGAGGAAGTAGGGGAGACACCCCTCAAATCTTTCCAGCCCTGCCCCCGCCCCAACCCCGCTCCCGTAACCGGTGTTTCTTTCCTAATCTTCTCCCGCCTTGGTTTTCTTCCAGCTTGAGGGCGCGGATTTCCTGCGCACCTGCAGCTCCCAGTGGCCAACTGTTTCGGATCATTCCAGGGGGCTCGTGATAACTGCCAAGGAAGGTAAAGTAAAGGAAAGGGAACATCCCGGGAGGGGGCTGGGCTGCTTGCTCGAGGAGAAAGAGCCGGGAGCAAGCGCCCAGATGCGCGCTGAGACAAGTGCGCTGCGGACCCGCGAGCAACCGCAGTGACCTCGCGTGGGACACAAAGATGACTCGTTCTTCCTTGGGTGATGTGTTTGTGTGTGTGCGTGTGTGTGTGTGTGCTTTCTGCGCTTAGGAGGGGCGAGCATTGATTCATCGGCTTCGAGTAGCCTTCGATGCCTTTCTTCCATCGTGGACAGTATTTCCTCGGAGGAACGCAAACTGCCCAGCGTGGAGGAGGTGGTGGAGAAGTAACCGCGGGCCGGCGCTGGAGACGTTCACCATGTTGCAGGAAGATCCCACCCTCCCTCCTTCGCCTAATCCTTTAGATTAGGTCACATTACGTTAATATTTAGGAACTCAGACCCAGGAGTTTGTGAACGGGAAGGAGAACTTTTCGCAAAGAAACTTGTGCACGCTCAGATGAAAAAGCCTTTCGGGTTTGGGCTTTTATTTGTTGGAACCGCGAGTGGTTTAGGTCTTGCTGCCTTACATCTTTTGTTTGTTTGTTTGTTTGTTTGGGTGGTGTCATAATATATTTTCTCTTATTATGATGATCTTTTTGTGTTTTGTGCAAAAGAAGTCCATTCCTGTCCAAAGCGAAGTGGGAACGCTGAGTGTCATTGTTAATGGTATTGAATGTATTTTTGTAAACAATCTTAGTACTTTCATTTTTTATGTAAACTCAAGAAATATATTGTAAATGTGCAGTGGTGTATTGTATATACAATCTGCGAGGATCCTGCTATTGTAATATTAAAAAAGTAAGTTTCCATATGAACAAAATTAGTCCTAATTTGATTCAACTGAAAAAAAAAAGTTCGAGGGCACGTGTACCCAAATAAAGAGGAGTCATTTGAATTTAGATACCACACAAACCCATTTATTTGGGTGTTTTCTTAAAGATAGCTTTAAAGGGAGGGGAATATATTGTTTTTCTTTTCTGAATGAAACTAGATGTACTTTTAATCTCATACGAACCTCACAATTGTAGTTAAAAGTGAATAAATAATACCCACTTTCCCCTGTTAACAAGTTTTCCCTCTAGGTAAAGGTGCCTGTTCCTATACCTAGACACCTGGGTAAGATTTACTTACAGTTAAACTACATTTCCATCCCCTCAAACCTCACTGTTGCAAGAAATCACCAACCAAAAGCTCTTTGTTTCTTTGCCTAAAAGACCTTCAGCTAGTTTAGCTCGACAGACTTTCCCTTTCTTACTTTCCAGGACTGGCTCTACCTGAAGGAGTATTCATTCGGGGTTCCCTGGGGCTGCACTGGCCCTCTGGCCGCCTCAATTTTCTTGACATAGACTGGTGACTAGAAGACTTGAGTATCTTCAAGGCCTCGTGTGGCTTGGGTTTGTTTATCAAATAGAAAGATGAAAGACAGGACAATCTGTCTCTCTAGGGGAGATGGGCTTCTTGAAGAAAAGGTTGCTCCGAGGGAGGAAAGGGTTAAATGGTTGAGGGCAAGACAACAACAACACACATGAAACCTCTTAGCTGGACCAAATAGCAAAACCCCAGAGAGGCTTGAAGCCCCAGGAGCTCTTCACAGTGAGGATTTTACAACGTGTGCCAGGTTTGTTTATTCTGTAACCTCAGGAAGAAACGACCACCAAGAAACTCAGTGGGAAGTGAAGTTTAGGAGAGGAGCAAGTCATTGCATTGGAATGGCTACTTCTCTTACATTCTGTAAATGGCAACTTCACTTCCCTGCACACCCCTCCCCCAGTTTTTCACTTCTTCCCTGTACCTCTTTATTCCCCCCAAGTAGCCAGTTCTCAGTTTGCAGATATTGAATTCAGCATTCACCAATCCAACTTTGCTTCCTAGCTCCAGACTAGTAGACCTTACTGCACACCGCAGCAGTTCCTTCTAGCACCGCAGATAGTGCCCCCTGCAGGCACAGAGGAGTAACTTGCTTATTTTCCATCTCAAAGGACCTCTTCCAGGAAGGGTTAACAGTTACTTTGTGTTCTGAGAGTAGGGGTATTTATAGTTTTTCCTGACATACTTTTTAAATGCAGAAATGTTGATAAGGAAGACTACCATTGATTTATAAAATACCCCTGGCAAGTTTTAAAGACGTAAGTGGGAGTTTGGGTGGATGCAAAATGCTGAACCTGGTGGGAGTCCAGGCTGCTGCTGCTGTAGGGCCTGGAGCTATTCCTGCTCTTCTTGGCTTTTTTCCCTCATTTATAAAATAATGGGCACAACAATAATAGTGCTTACCTCTTGGGTTGTGAAGTGCACTGAGATAATGTGTAAACTACTTTGCCAAAACAGCAATCAAAATAAAGAGCAGCTGTCTTTATTTTTCATCAGTAAATTTAAATGGACCATCCAAAGGATTTTCTTCTGCCCAAAGCCAGATCCTTCAAATTCAGTTTTCCAACCTTAGCCAGCTCTGGCTATGGGAAATGCTAATAGCAGGGAGACCAGCAGCAACATAAATGAGTCATTCTTAGCATTTTATATTTTAACTCATAGAATCATATGTCAACCTTTAGGAGAAAAACTCCTATTTTAAAGGAAAGAATTTTGGGGAACAGAAAGGTTCCTGTGGTTGTAAGTATAGATCCTAGATTTGGAGTCAGATATTATCAACGGCTTCAACCATCCCAAAATGCAACCTGGACGAAAAGCCTTGGGAAATCAAGAAGATACCTCAATGGCTTACATAGAATAATATGATTCTCTGTGACAGTTATTTCCCAAAAACCTTTCGTCAAAAGTAATGAGCAAAGCGACTCAGAAATAACACCATTATTTAATTTAAAAAATGAATGGAAAAGCACTTCAAATGATCCAAATCAAAATGTGTGAATATGTCTGAGGAATAGGTATACCCAGTACCATGTTTATTAAATATTGATTTTTCTCCTGAGAATAAAGAGGTATCTCCTTAATAAGTATACACACACACTTTAAAAATTGAGTTCCTGCCACAACTGAAATGAAGATCAAAATTGACCAGCAAACTCATTTACTATATGATTGCATATATATTTATAAGATTTACGTTACTAACTGCTTAGCAAAAAATGTTTTTATCAATCCTTGAAATTTACCTGCGGATAGATTTTATTCAGTTTTTGTAAACCGAATCCTCTCTATCTCTCTTAGCTGGGTAACTTGAGAAATTGTTTGGAATACGTTTGCGTATAGATGTCTCTTCATTAAATAGAGCAAATATTTTCCAAAGACTTCAAGTGACCTCCACTGGTATAACTGACATGTTAGGCTTTTCAATGAAATCCTTGGTATGTTTGCAATTAAAGTGGTTTTTATTTGATATTAATGATGATAATCTTTACTAAGGCCAAATCCAAAACAAACAAACTTCGAGGCAGAAAAATCAAGATGCACTAACTTGGTAAAGATAAGTAATGTAGGATTTAAAATGAGATCTTTTTCCAGAAGCAAGCATAATGTTATTATGTTTAAATAATAAGTGATTTTCTTTTTCATATCACTGTAGAAACTAACGGAACATCAAATATTAGCTTCCTCAGACTGACATTAATCATCATGACTGTCATTGGATTCCAAGCTTGAACATAGTGGACATTCATTTATATCTAATGGATTCACTTTTCTTTTTCCTTTTTCTTATATTTTGAGAGTGGGAATATAGTGCTGGAATTCACTCTTCCCAACTGCTTTGGAGACTGACAGAAGCTTTAGGTTGCTAAAATGAACTCTATTCTGGCAAGATACCATTGACTTAGAAATCTGTGCTTTCATCTTAGCAATAAATATTTTATTCTTATCCCTTTCAAAATCCTCTACCCACAACATCCTATCCAGAAAAAAAAAAAGTTGTTTAAAATACTTTGGTTTAAATTTGTATTCTCTTGAATACACTGGTGAATTACCAATAAATAACATGGTATTTTCTCAAAGAGCCAACCCATCTATACAATTCTCCAACACATACCCTGAAGTCACTCTCTTAAATTCAAAAGAAATACTACAGAGGCTTTCCTGGGCCCTAGAGGGTTCTTTCTGAAAAAGCAATTTTGGGCAAGTTTAGTTCAGAGTCCGTCTGCGCAATGGAATGGCTGCGCCATGTGCAGGACCAAAGATAATACTGCAAGAACTAGCTACTTTTTCTACTCTCAAGGCAGCTAAAGTCCTTCCTTAGGCCTTTGATCTCTCCTGGGAGCCTTCTAATTCAAGCAGAGACCAATGTCTTCCTCAGCTGTCTTTTCCACAAATTTTTCCAGCAGCTTTGGCAGGTACTAATGTGTTTACTTAGGTGTGCTTAGCTCTCAGGGCTAACAGCAGTTTGAAATTGTTTAGCACATTGTGGAGTCATATGTAATAAGCAAAAATCTCTGGAATAACTCCGGTGTCCAGGAGTTTATAAGGTAGGTGTAAAAGTGATTTGATATGGACTTATCTTTCTACTTTTGGTTTCGCCCATCAATAGACACATGAGAAATTTCTATAACGAAGCCCTGGGCATCATTGTCTGATGTGGTCTGTTAATCAACACTAAGATTGTGGCTATTATGCTTAAACTAAAACAGGTTCTCTTAAAAAAAAAAAGGTTGATAGGTTGATGATTACTTAAATCTCTTTATGGTAAATCATAAGAATGGCAAGCATATATTTAGTCTTCTTCAAAATGTAAAATGGCAAAAAGTGTTTAAATGATCTATTTCATCAGTACCTTAATGGACATCATCTGTAACTGCAGTGTTAAATTCTCTATTCTCATTTGCCTACAAGGCTTTCCTTGCAGACAGTCAGTGTTGGAATATCATTTCAAATGATAGTCTTTTTTTTTTTATGTAGTTTACAAATTAATGTGCATTTTCTCTGCATACAAGAGAATCCATTTCTGTAAAGCAAAAGTGGAAAACATTGCCTTGTCCATGAAGAGCAAAAGCCACTGTAGTATGATTTTGTGTTAATGAAAACACCCAGGTAACCTGTAGATATCCTTACTCAAAAAATTAATTTTTCTTGGAATTATTCATTTTGCTCTCACATGGTTCCTGGAGAAAGAATATCAGTGCTTCTCCCTAACTGGAGGATTCCCAGTAAACTTGAAGGTGCAGACTTTCTTCCTCCAGTATATTCTGCTTCCCATATTTTTAGATCTTATTCTCGCTCTCCTGCAGTGATTTAAAAGTTCTCTCTCTCTCTCTCTCTCTCTCTCTCTC